GCTTTGATATTGGCAACAGACGAAATGCTGACTTTACGTCTGACTTTAAACCAAGTGCCCTTGCACCCGAAGAACTTATCCTACTGCTATATCGAATGAGGCATACCTAACCTTACATTGCTCCTCATCAATCAAATCATTAAAGACTAGAAGGGAAGGAAAGATGGTGTATCAATCTTTAAGTACCTGGGTCTTTCTTCGGCACTAACCCAATGGGCGAACATCGCAAGTTCTCAAACGGTGGGAGGGTAAAACACCTGGCGATCCTGCCCCCTTGAATCTCCTTTTGTAGTTTCGCTTTGACTATTGTGGGTTATGATGAGGCTGACCACTGGTAGCCCGCATCCCTGCGAATCCGGAGACCTGTGTACCCCAGAGAAAATCCCTTGGAACACCCCTGAATCAAAACTTCTTTGTCAACCTCATTATCATACTCGCTAAGTAAGGTACTTAAAACCGAAAGCTTAACTGAAGTTGGGAGAACGAAAACTATGCTTTGGCATCCCTTGGGGTCCTTCGAGGTTGCCAAGTGATGGATAGCTAGGACCCGCGTCGGTGTGCGACTTTCCTTTACTAAACTTTGACCTGATTATTTGGGAATTTTTGTGACCGCCTTGAACTCAGCACACTTGAACACTGTGTCCCAAATGAGCACACTTTGCGCATTTATGTTGATACTTTACAGCCAAAAAACTTGCAACCAGTTGGACCGTTGAATGCGAAGCACAAACCAGTAATGGTCCCTGGGCGCTATGGGAGCTGACCTGCAGTCCTGGCAGGTGCACAAGCGTAGGATGCAACTGTAAGCCACAACTTGACATTGATTTCACCCCATGACCGAGTAGGCTGACCTTCTAGCAGAAGCCGAAATTGCTCATCGTATAATCGCCAGCTACAACCCAGAAACTGGACTGAAGTCGTGCGTACAATTTTGGTGTACTTGAGGAATTAATAAATGCGGGCAGGAAACTTCACCAAATAGATTGCCATGAACTTATGGAATGCTGTAACCCATTTATCCCAAGAATCGAGCGTATGTTGACAGCTGGACTTGAGCTGATGCGGGTGCAAGAACGTTTTATCATTCTCAGTGACTCCCAGCAGTAACACCAATAGGTTCCCGCACTGCCAGACGCACCAACGCCCTTCCCAATATTGCTGAGCAGCAACAATGCCTCCTTCAAAAAATACTGGGGTGAACACCAAGCAGCTGGATTCGATTCCACCATGAGTCATTGGTGGGCAACACAAAGTGAAAGAGGAAGCACAGATATCATACAACTCTGATATAATGTGAAAATTTAGAGCAATAATTCAACATTGATTTTCTTGATTGAAGCTGTGACGTAAAATGAGGCTACCTGAACTGTTTGCATGGTGTGGTTTCTATTTCCCGCCCTGACCGAAGACTCTTGCTTTGATTGGCTGCCGAAGGATCCTCCTCGGCCTCGACTAATCTTTTTTACAAGTTTGATTGCTCCTACCGCATCAGCAATATCTGTAAGGTCTAAAATTTGGCACACAGCACACCAATGATGCTTCCCATATGTATACCTCAACCGTATGATAGTGCTACACGCACTCTGTGCCGATCCTGCAGGTTAGCCCTTCAGGTGACTCACCACTGGCCTTTCTGTATATAATAATATAGTATAATATTATAGTATAATAAATCTTACCTGCTCTGCTCTGCGGTAAAATGTGTTAGCCCCGTCTCATTTGCTGCATTCCGATGTTTTTTTTTTTCTGAATTCTAACATGACTACAGTTGTAAAGGATCAATTCATGAATTGTCCATGATTCAAATTAATCCGGTATCTAGAAATGTGGCCATTTATTTAGAGAGGTGTTGATTCTTTTTGTTGCTCAACCCTTAACTACGAAAATACATACATATGTAACCCCATCTCATTTGCAACATTCTGATCTTTTCCCCTCTCAATTCTGACATTGCTAAAATCTCCAACAGTCTAAATTTTCAAAGAAATCTGTTCCTAAAAAGTCCATGCTTCCAGTTGAGAAGGTATTTAGATATTTGGTGTTTTAGTTAGAGAGGTACTGAGTCTTTTCTCCCCACTTCCCCTAAAAGGTACATATTTCACCCTGACTCATTTGCTGCATTCTGATGTTTTCCCCTCTGAATTCTAACATCACTGAATCTCCAAAAATGTAAATTGTAAAGGAAATCAATTCTTGAATACTCTGTGATTCAAATCAAGCAGGTATTTACAAATGTCGCCATTTAGTTAGAGAGGTATTGAGCTTTTTCTCTCCTCCACCCATAAAAAGTACAAGGTCCAAAAACTCTAAATTTTCCAACGAATCATTTGCTAAATAGTCCACAATTGAAATTGTCTAGGTATTTAGATATATGACCATTAAGTTAGAGAGGTACTGAGTCTTTTCATTGCTCAACCCTTAACTTTGAAAGTTTGTATATATTTCACCTCATCTCATTTGCTGCATTCTGATCTTTTCCCCACTGAATTCTAACATAAACAAAAAAACCAAAATTCTAGATTTTCAAAGAAATCAGTTCCTCAATCGTCAATGATTCAATTCTTGCAGGTATTTAGATATTTGGCCATTTAGTTAGATAAGTATTGAGTCTTTTCGTTGCTCAACCCTCAACTTGGAAAATGTGTACATATTTTACCTCTTTTGCTGCATACTGACGTTTTCCCCTCTCTATTCTCTTTGTTTAGTTTCCCTAGTTTCAACAGTGATGGTGAGACAAGAACAAGCTTTTTAGTGGCAGGACAAAGTGTTCTGAAGTGTAACAGATCAGAGATATCTCATCACTCTCGACAATGCTTGACAGCTACATGTAGGTATGGAAACAGCTTACACTATATTTTTATATTAGTCCATCTTAATGGTAATAATAACATGCCCAGTTTAGTAAATCTGGAACTCAGGCTTTGTCTCATAAGCTTTTCAACTAATGAGAATCTCCGGCCTTTTGGGCTGGGTTGAACTTAATGAAACAAATTCGAAGATGAAATTGTTAGGTGTGGTTGTAACATTTGTGACAAACTGAACAGAAATTGGACAGAAGCTGGATCCACAGGCTGCTTGCAGTGAATGGGGAGTTGTACTGAAATAATAAAGGGGATGGGTGGAGATTATAGAGGGATAAATGTCCTCATTCCTGGATCCAAATCATATTCAAGGATGAGTGTACACGTTCCACAGGTGTCATATAAAACATCTGGACTGTTATTTCATTTTATAAGCTAACTTATTTGTCAATGAAGCCATCAGCGGCCATCTGTGCCAAATACAAGGCCTTAGGGGTGGATAATCTAGGTGAGCGCAGTGTGGTGAGGCGGTGTAGCCCAGGTCACAGCTCATTAAGGGATAAGCTATTGTGTTTTCGGCATTGTTATATTAATAAAGCGTCCCGGGTGTAAGCTGCTCAGCTCACTGCAGTGGGCTTTGAAGATTAGTTTCGGTGCGACTTGTCCACCCGAAAAGATTACCTCATTCACTGACATTCATTCAACAACAAAAGACCACTGACCTGACATTGAACCACAGTTAAACTCTGTTTTTTTTGGGGGGGGGGAACAGGGAAGTTTCAGTGGCTATGTTTGACAATGTGTCCCATCTTTCTTGTCAGCGTTGTCCCCCTTTTAAAATACAATGTATATTTACCTTGTGTTCCTGACATCGACCTGGCGTTCAGAAAAGTTTTATGTACTGGTACCTGTATTACAGTGCTGCCCATTTTCTGTGGCTGCGGGGGAATCTCAGGCATTTGTCTGGTTCACAGTCTCCATTCTTTGCATTGTACAATACATATCAAGGCGGGAACTAAACATGTCAGTTGTATACATGTAGGAGTTATACGTCCTGCGCCTTGACACTGACAAAGACTTTCGTGTAATTTCAACCATTTTCCAACGTACTCTGCTGCCATTTTTTGTGCTTCCAAAGAATTTTTATTTCGCTGAATAAAAACCTCTTTTTAAAACCATAAAATATGTGCATTAAAATTAAATCACAAACTGCATTTCCATGGATCACGAGTCAGTTTGCTTTTCTTCCGGGCATTTTGACCCAATACTCATACCCATTGGAAGGTTATTCAGTGCATTCAATAACCGCCTTATTGCTTGGAACACACACGGGGCCATTTTGAGAGTTTCCAAAATACACTGAAAATGAGAGCTGTCTTGAGAGTAACGTTTCCTGCTGGGATTTTGGCGAAAAATCGTAACTTTGGTAGCTATAATAATTAAGGTCTGACGTGTTCCTGGAGAGTTTATATCCCAAAATATATTTATACTTTGCCTTATGGTTTCCTTAATTAGCTCTACAAATTTATTGTTTTACTCCTCAAAAATAAGTTTAAGAATTCAAAGTAGAATATCATTTGACATAAAAAAACTGCACCTGCATCATTTTCATATTCAGTTCAGTCAGTCATTTTATAGTTTCTTTTCTACATCTGCCCGGATAACTTGATACAACTGGAAGTACAGTGAGTAAACTAATAAAACAGGCTGGTAAAAATCAAAGGCAAAAATGTATCAAACAGGTTTGCTGTCATCAATGTACAGTAAATGTGGCAAGGACGCTTCAGAATTTACAATTACATGCCTAATTTGGTTTCAAGTTTACAACATTTGCCATTGACAGCATCAGTGTGGGCTTTTGTGTACACGTCCCCTACTGTGGCTTTGGGAAACTCTCGTCATGCTTGAGGTAGTACAGCCTGGAGCTCTACATTTTGCTTCAGAGAAACCTTATGGAGAACAACCCCCCCTTTGCAGACTACTTCCCCCCATGATAATTACTCCTGGCAAGCTTCTTTTCTGTACACAACTTTAACAATAGCTTCAGTACCAACTCCTTTATAGGGCCTGCCACCTTTGAGTGGATGTCATGATAGGATGCTCTGTTGATTACACACGTGGCCACCCTGTCCAATCCTATCAGCACTTCGCTGTCAGGAGAAACTACCACCTTTGGCTCAGCTTTAGTGTATGTTATGTTACAGGTCTATTGGCTTTTCCCAAAGTTGCCAGAGATGGAGGACCTTCTCGGTGGATAAATTTAATTTGTGCCAAAAACTGGGTGACACACATGCAAATGGAGAGCCATGATTTAATACCATTGATAACTTTGGAAATGGTTTATGCACAATCTGTGATCCCTGTATAGTAATTGGGGATGGCAGGCAAAACGTGAAATAGCTGAGAGTGGTTGGCTAAAGCCCTTGGGTGTGTGCAAAATCATATTGGAATCAGAGGATTTGGGATGACTTTAATCAGACCTTTTTGTACTGTATGGGATTGTTAAAAGAGCCCAAGAATGAAGAAGGGTGTGAGTTGTAAATGGCTTCTTCTAGGCACGAGAGGTAAGACTTTCAGGAATTGGTTGCTGACAAACCAACAATTGCCGAGAGTTGAAACAAAGGAAAAGACGAAAATGACGTCCCAGTGATGTCTACTTGAATGTTATTTGACCCTGATCTTTGTTGATTTGACTCTGTTTTCAATGTTGCCTAAAATTCTGTGGTGGCTCCTTAGTCATACAGTCTGTGATTGAAACAGTTTCTTTGATTTTGTTGGTTGTAGCATTGATGAAGAGACAAGACCAGACCCCTGGGAGACAATTTTCTGGATTGTAACACATCACCAGATATTTGCTACTGCCAACACTACTCACTTGGTAAGCACTTTATATCGTGTTCTGATTTTAGCCTCATAATAAAAGCCATGTTCCAGCTTTTGAAAAAAAAAAAGCAGCTGTACCTGAGTTGTGTAAATGTACAGTTGCTCTGTAAAATCTGGAGCATGGCTTGGACTCCACTCATGAAGATGATGAGAGCAGTTGGTTGAAACGTTAAGTACATGCTCAACGGTTCTTATCGGAACCCTACCTCTTCCAAGAGAGATCTATCCACATAATGTATTACCACAAGCCTTGGTTTTAGTCTCCACTACGTAAAGCTTCAGTGCTTATGTAATAAAGGTGAATGCTTAGGGCAGTTTCTGCATGTTTTTTATTTCTCGTTTGTAAGTTGATCTTATAATTGGAGGGTTGTGCAGCAAAGTTGGCTCTGTATAAGGACTAATCCTAATTAAGCATTTGTCTGTGACTATGTGGTTAGTGAAAATCAACTGATCTGATTTTTCGTCTTGTTTTACATATCCAATGAAGAATATTTCATTTTGATATTACCAAATGAGAGATATTGAGTCATTTCATTGCTCTACCCTTAATTTCATCAATTCAAACGTATTTCACCCTGTCTTATTTGCTATATTCTGGTCTTTTTGCCGTCTGAATTTTAGCATACTAAAAGCTCCAAAAATCTAAATTTTCTGAATTTGACTGTTTAGTTCAAGAGATATTGACTCTTCTCTCTCCTCCCTTTGAAAATTTGTTCATATTTCACCCCATCTCATTTGCTGCATTCCAATGATTTCCCCTCTGAATCTCTCTAACATGACTAAACCTCCAAAAATTGTAAAGGAAATGAATTCTTGAATAGTCCATGATTCAAATCAAGCAGACATTTATAAATGTGGACATTTAATTAGAGAGGTACTGAGTCATTTCTCTCCTCTACCCCTAAAAAGTACATATTCAGCCCTAACTCATTTGCTGCATTCTGATGTTTTCACCTCGGAATTCTAACATAGCGGAAGGTCCAAAAATTCACAATGTTCAACTAAAGCTCCAACAGTCTAAATTTTCCAAGAAATTTCCAAGTCCATAATTCAAATTGTGCAGGCATTTAGATATTCAGCCATTTAGTTTAAGAGGTATTGAGTCTTTTCGTTGCTCTACCCTTGACTTTGAACATTTGTATGTATTTCACCTTATCACATTTGAAGCATTCCAATCTTTTCCCCTCTCAATTCTGACATAACTAAAGCTCCAATTTCTAAAGAAATCTGTGCTGAACAGTCCACATTGTAAATCAAGGAGGTATTTAGATATTTGGACTTTTAGTTTGAGAGGGGTTGAGTCTTTTCGTTGCTCTACCCTTAACCTTGAAAATTTGTACATATTTCACCTAATCGCATGTGCAGCATTCCAATTTTTTCCCCTCTCAATACCGACATAACTAAAGCTCCGACACTCTAAATTTTTCAAGAAATCAGTTCCTCAATATTCCATTATTCAAATCAAGGAGGTATTTAGAAATTTGGCCTTTTAATTTGAGAGGTATTGAGTCTTTTCACATCTCTACCCTTAACTTTGAAAATTCGTACATGTTTCACCCCATCTGATTTGGGGCATTATGATGTTTTCCCATCTGAATTCTAATTCTGAAGGTCTGAAAATTCTAAATTTTCCAAGAAATCAGTTGGTAGGTAATCAATGATTCAAATCGTGTAGGTATTTAGATATTCAGCCATTTAGTATGAGAGGTATTGAGTCTTTTCGTTGCTCTACATATTTCACCTGATCACATTTGTAGCATTCATATCTTTCCCCTCTCAATTTTGACATAATTAAAGCTCCAAGGCGCATAAACATGCTC